AAAGTTTAAGTCGTAACGGCACTCAAATCGGGAAAAAAGCATGTCAGATACTTCGAGGCAAAGAAGAAGAAAAATGAAGGAACCGTAAGGTTAGAGGTAAGTCTTAAAAGCATGTGCGTTGAACATTCTTGAAAAAGTGCAAAAAAGGAAAGGGAAAAAAGAGAAAAGAAAAGAAGAAAAAAAAAAAGGAAAATAAATTCGATTTCCCATCTTTGCCAGTAGACTCGAAAAATATCAGTGAAAATATATGAGACTACCGGAAGAGAAGAAGAATTCTCGTTGGCTCGTCGATCTCGGTATATTGGTGCTACGTCGAACAGCTCGGCTTTTCCTTTGCAAAATGAAACCCGTTTCCTTTGACCTCGCGTAACGTGTCTATACGATGATTTACGCAACTCGGATTTATCTTAACACCAGAACTACCAATTCCATCAAAATGATTACGGATTTTATATTTTACAATATTTTGCGATAAAATATGATATCATAGTTTCATGAAAAAAGTGTTGATATTATATAATTTATTTTTATAAGATCTATTAGATCGAAAGTAATAAGAAAAAAATTATTCTCTCTTTTTTTTCTCGAGTGTTCATAAAGTTTGATTTATAAAAGAGATCGTAAAAAAGATTACAATGAGGAGAGTAGTTAAGCAAAAATTTCAGACAAATTCGAAAGAACATTTTGAATACATCTACTTGAACAAGTCACTCATCCTTCACACGGATATATTATATTATACGTGGTGTGTATATATATACATATATAAGTATGGGATCGAACGATAGTAGTAGGTAAGAAAGATGTACGAATAACGTTGGATACATCTGGTCGACTAGTTGCAAAAGTACAATACCTATGTACGTGTATATATATATATATATATATATATATATATATATATATATATCGTTTTACTGGAAAATGTTCGTACTCCGACATTTATATTCTCGTATATTACCAGCACTTCACCCTCTCGTAGTCACTTCCCTTTACAGTATAAAATCTCGAACACCGTGGACTTCGTATAACGATCTTAATCGAGACTACGCGGACGGAAGTGTGGAGCTAACCTAGATTTCTCAGTAATTTACGACCTGTTTCTAGTTACCCGACCTTTCTTTTACGATGGAACAGTAATGTCAATGAACATTCTAAGATGCATATCAGATTTTAGCATTATTTCAATTTATCGCGTGAAAATTTGATAGTTTATTAAACGAAATAATTTATACAGGAAAATACGTACACATATATAAGCGAAAAGATTTTTTTTTAATCGAGAACTTGCTCGTATTTTTGTAGAAAATAAAAGAAAATAAGTGAAAAGGAACATTGAGAAAAAAGGGAAGAGTAAGAGAGGCGATTCGAAAGATGGGGAAAAGGGGAAATTTTTCCTCCGAAATTCGACGATAAAAGAAAGAGGAAAGGAAGGGTGGGAAGAATGAGAAAAAGAACAATCGGACGAGAATGAGAATCGGACGAGTAAAGAGAGAACTAAAACGAGAGAGAAAATACTTACAAAAAAATAGAGCGAGTAATAGACAGTAATTGAGTGTAACGGCAAATAACCCGAGGAAAACTCGTACGGAACTTTTAATTCGGTCGTTAAGTCGAACGAAAACTACCGAGGTATATGTATGTGATTATGTGTGTACGTACGTGCCCGCACGTGTGTGTGTGTGTATGTGGATGTGTGTGAGAGAGAGAGAGAGAGAGAGAGAAACTCATACGCATACGTACACGAACGCACACATGTGTATAATAAAAGAATATCCCAACATGTCGTCGGGGGTTCTTACCGAATGAATTAAATTCTCTCGTTTTCCCTCCCAAATACTCTCCGATCTCGAAAGAGAACTTCTCGCGACTATTTCTAGTACTTTTCAAATAGAATTTCAATCGAGTCGATATTCTTTGAACGAAAAAAAGAGAACAATGTATATTCTATGTTTTATTTATTATTATATCAAAAAGTTTTCATTCAGATCATTAAATTCTACGAGCATATCGAATCGAGAAGGAAAAGGTTATTAAATACATACGTATATGTTTTTTTAATATTATACGACCAAAAGTGGCATAGAAATCGAATTGTTAAAACAACAATCGTATAATAGAGAAAAAGTTATCAAAATTTTACAACTTTAAACTTATATTCTCTATTCAAAGTTATATATACAAAGTTATAAACCTATTTCGTATCAAATTTTTTTTTTTTTTTTTTTTTCATGCTCGTTGTTGTACCTCGATCTTTTTTTCTTTTTCTTTTTTGTATTTCCAAGAACGAATTAACAATTTTCTTTTTTCTTTCTATACGTCATTGGTTATTTATCGTATATATTTATCATTGAGTATTATAGTGCCCTTTACATTTGGATGCAATTCTCCTCTGTTTACGTATACAAATAAAGAGGTTTTACGAGGCAATAGTAAAACAGTATGAATAACATTGAACATTCTAAGCGCATTAATGTGTTCATTCTTGTACCGAATTCAATGACAATGAGTAGTAAATTCACGAAAGAGAAAAAGAGAGAGAGAGAGAGAGGGAGAGAGAAATCTGCAAACATTTACGTAAATACTAGTATATTATTTGTACGATATATATATATATATATATATATATATATATATATATATATATATGAATATATATAAATTTATACATGGGAAAATATGCATATACATATTGTATATATGTACAGATATTTGTGTATGTATACTGGTATGTATATTTGCCGAATATGCAGACGCTTGATATTACAAGCTGGAGGAATCAAATTTCCGTTACTTCGATCCAGGGTTTGGCCTGATCCTATCACCTTACTGACATCTACAATACCGTAGTTTAGATATCTATAGGGTGTTACCTTTAAATTACTTCGTTCAACATCCGTTTCTCTCTGTTTTATTACTTGCAATGGAAAAAATATAAAATGATGATCATTTAAGTGGAACATTAAAGCCGAAATCTTTTTTTCAATTTAAAGAACAAACGAAGAAAATTCATTTTACATTTATATTACACTGTACGTACAATAAACATACGTGAGTAATAAACGAAATAATTTATATGATTTTTATATGGTTTTGAATTAGAGACATTGGTTACTCTCCTGAAATCACATACATATATTCCAATCTCTTTTGTTGCAATATATTCATAACAAAAAGAAAAAAAGAAGAAAAAGTAACAATAGTTTCGTAACTAAAAGTTACAGGGACGTTAGTTGATCGGTTCAATTTTAGAGTGTAAAATATGACGTCCGCGCTATTGGCTCGCATCAATCTGTCTTTTAATTATTTCCTTTGTTTCCTTTGAAAATTCATCGTCCCGATAGAAAATTGTTTGCCATGGGAAACATATCGGATGACGTGTCAGAACAAAACGATAACATGGACATGAAAATTTTTACAAAGCACCGAACACGGTCAGGTGAGTTTGGAAAATTGTGTTTTGTGATATGGAGAGAAGCTTTTTATTATAGTAGAAATTGTGAAATAATAAATAAAAGAAAAGGCAAAGGGATAACAAGAAATAAATTTATATATGTTGTTTCGATTATATGTGAATTAAAAACGATTAAGATATTAACAATTCCTTGTTGTAATGATTACAAAATGTTTGTACATTGTATGTATAAATAGATCGGTGTTTCTCCATCGAAAGAAACATTTACGGGCACGATTTACGTTTCTTTTTTTTCTTTTTTTTATCTGACATAAGCATTTTCACTCTGATAACGTATGTATGTATGTCATTTCTATGTTACAATGTTCTATCAGGAGAAAAGCGTTTTGGAAAAAAAAAAATCAAGGGAATAATAATTAAAAATCGTAGAACGAATTCATAGGTGACGTTAAAGTGAGAAAGTATAACACGAATAACGTGAAACAACGTGGTGAATATTCAAAGAATTGTTAAATTAAAGGGGGATAAAAAGGAAAAGAGAAAAAGGAAGAAAGCAAATCGATAAAAATATAGAGATTGAAAGGTAAACAGCACTCTGCGATGCTATTCGTAAATCGAGTTCCATGCAAAAGACACAATAGGACACCACGTATATAGGTATGTAGGTATATCTACGAATTCCGATAGTTTCTCTAGCGTAAACGTGACTGCCAGTACGTACAATCACGAATGCACGACCCGTCGCGATACTAGTTCCAAAGCTCACAGCTTTCTCTCACTCTCTTTCTCTTTGTACTGTCATACTCACCCTTTCTCTCTCTCTCTTTCTCTCTCTCTCCTTCTCACTATTTTACTCTTACCGATTTATCCTCCTTATCGCGAGAAAACACACGAAGAATTCTAACATTTTATATTTGACTTCTTCTTCGTGTTTATAAATCTCAAATTTGTAAAAAGTTTTAAACAATTTAAAGAAATTATTAATCGCATAATTACGCAACAATGTATCGTAATTGTTTTAATTAATCGTTGAAACTCAAATAAATATTATAAACTCCGATCGATTGCAATGACTTATTTATCGAAAATCAAATATTCGTTTTATTAAGACAACGTCGACCGTGATAGGAAATTGGATTCGGAAATCGCGAGTTGTTGCGGGGCAAATGATAAAGGGAAAAAGTATACAAAAGAGATGCAAATCGAAGAAGATCAGAAGATCATCGTTGGAAATATCGAATACAAGAGACAAAAAGTTTTACCCTGTAATCACTGAAAGTAAATTGCTTGAGATTTTTCTAACATGGAATAGAGAAAGAATCGATATTTTATTGTAAAATATAGAAAAGAGAAGATGGAAAAATATGAAACAAATACAGAATTTTCAAGATTGAACTTAGGTATCGATTCCTGTACACTTTGATTGTTATCGGTTAAAAATATTCTAACTTTCGTAGAACGGTTTTTAGATTTCTACATTTTTTTTCTCTTTCCTTTCAACTTTTTCTTACAACTTTTTAGAACTACGAAATTTAAGGGATTACACATTTACACATTTAAAAGGATATAAAATATTTATAAATACCTTGTAACTTCGTTGAAAAGTCAATCTCGTGTCTGGCCTCGATTATATACGTGGCCCTGAAACGAACGAAATAAAGAACTTTAAACAAATTCAATGAATAATATCTATTATTGGTATGATACAACAATCGTTCTTTTCTTAAGAAACGTATATTGTTCGGACTGTCGTTGAACATATAATGTTTACCTTGTACATTACTCTTTCTTTGTATGTATGTTTGTGTGTGAATTGTGTGTATACACAATTTTAAGTCACCCTGTATACAAAGGAGAACTCGCTCGTCCGTCGTACGTGTCAGAGAGCGTAAGCAGTGTCGGAAAGAGTGAGAAGAACGGAAAACGATAGGAAGCAAGAGGTTGAGAGAGAGAGAGGGAGAGAGAGAGAAAGAGAGAATGCTGCAACCGGCCGGAGAATGACACGGACAGAGTGCAGCAATTTCGTGCAATACCGCCGGAATACCGGGCGTTTCGGGAATGCGGATCAGCATTTTCCAGCCTCTCTTACTCTCTCTTTTCCTCTTTCTCTCATTCTTTCTTTCTTCCTTCTTTCCTTTCTTTCATTCTTTCTCTTTCTTTCCTCTACCTTTATTTCATTCCATTTCCTTCTCTCTACATTTCCACCAAGCTAGATGTCTCAGAGCACCTTTTTCGCAATGTTCCTCCTTCACCCTGGGGAACGTTCGTTCCGCATTCTTTTACCGTTGTTACGTCGCACGAGGATGCGAGAAAGCAAAGGAACCAAGAAAGGGTATCCAAGCAAGCGGCCGTTTAGTATTATTTTCCCGACCGATCTTCTCTCGTCTTCGTTTTTTCACGTAGACTAACAACAGCCAAGCGAACGTTCGAAACAATTCAGAGATGCGTTCGTAGACAAACCTGAGAACATTCGTTTTATCCAATCCGATCAATCTAATGGATTCTTATTGAAACCTTTCCAATGTTCTTGATATACGGAAACGGAAATGATCTGTGATTTTTCTATTTCCTAATTGACGATTTATAGAGCTTTACCTTTAAACGTTGTTTAATAATTGTACCCTTAGATTATATATATATATATATACTTTTTTCGAAATAAGAAAGATCTCACGGACGGTGTTATTAAAAAGTGTGACGTGGAAAGGAAGAAAAAGAAAAGAGAGGAGGAAATAGAAAGAGAAAAGGAAAAGCGAAGAAAAGGAAAAGAAGGATGTACAAGAATTTTTCAGTCGGAAAAATTGTTCGGGAGGGAACAAGTTTTTTCTCTCGATCGACTTACATTCTCCTAAATTTTTTTCCATCCCTCCTTCCCTCCTCATACTTCTATCCCAGCCGCATTTTTCTCTAGGGTTCTCGCGCCTCTAGCGCGCGTTCAGAAGTGAAACGCTTCGCTCGCTTTTCAACGAACGAAACTTTCTCGCGAAAAACTTTTCGCCTATTCGTTGGGAGTCTGAGAGAGAGAGAGAGAGAGAGAGAGAGAGAGAGAGGAGAGAGTAGAGAGAAGGGAAAGTAAAGGTAGGATAGCAGGACGCGAAGGGAAGGAGGGAACCGGGCCGCATCGAAATAATTATCAGCGGCAAGCGCGTCGATAATTCGCAAACTATGTGAGTAGAGAGCTCCGTTCAATGGCTTCCTGAACGACCATTGTCCGAAGGAATATCCGGAGCTCCGAGTGTATATCCATCGACTGCTCGAACGCCTCGAGGAATTCTCGATAATCCGGATAATACGCGGAGAAGGTTTTCTAACGAGAATCAAAGTTTTCTAATGGGACACGAAATAAGCCCTTAGTTACAATTGTCCATCAAATTTTCTTTTTCTTCTTTTTTTTAAGAAAAATTTTTTAAGAAAAATACAAAAGATTCGACCATTACATTAAACATTTTGCATTCTCCCCTTTTCTTTCATATTATATTATCATATAATATTTTTCTACATCGACGTAGACGTTTTCATGTGTAATCCTTCAAAATAATAATACTAGCTTATTGATATTCGATGAATTGAGAGAAACAAAAAAATTGATAAAAGTCAATTGGCATATATTATAGATTGATATATGTTACCATTTTTTTACGAATTAATTCATTAAACAATACCAATTTTGAATGGATCAAAGAGTACTCGATGAAAAAGCGAAATATTTCAAAACGATCTTGATTGGAAAATAGTAGTATTCTCCAACAAATATTCGTTACGAGTAATAATTTGAAATTGTAAAATCGATACGACTTTAGCGGAATTCACTGAGCTAATTCCACTTCGCGTTTCTCTCTCATTACTTAACGAGCTTTAAGAATTCTTAAAATATTTAATAAAATCCTTCCCGCGGACGTCCCCTACTCTCATTGCGTTCGTTATTCTTTTCAACGCCCTCCATTATTAAATATTCGAACACCTCGGAGAATTTTTAAAAGCCCGAAGTTGATCGATCTTATTATCATTGCAAGAAGATAAGAAATACTCTTTCGACTTATTCCTTTTTATTCTTCGAATAATTTAAAACAATAAAAATGTTAAAATAATTCTCATTATTTTTCTATGTTAATTTATCACATAGCAATTAATATTATATCAAATATTATTTGAGTTGCTTTTTCGCATTTCCAATGACTGAATTTTTGCAAAATATGCACACAGAAAGAGAACTCACTATAATGAGGAGAAGTATGCATATGCGCTCGAACGATAAAAAATATATATGTATATATACCTACATATATTTGTGATATAAATGAAAAGAGAGAAAAAAGGCAAAAAAGGCAAAAAAGAAAGAGAAAGAGAAAAAGAGAGAACTTTATATACCATTCTATGCTGTTCAGGGAATAAAAGATACAAATTCAGGGCATCGGTACATTGAGAGTCTCTCTCCTAAGATCGAAATAAAGCTTCTCGAATACAAAGGCTCGCAACATTCTCAAAGAAACTCTCGCGAAAAGAAAAGGAAAAGAAAGAGAAAGAACAAATGGAATTGAAGAATTTCATTTCTATCAAAAAGTTATAGCGGTAGAATGCTTTTCGCAATGATGATTACGTACAACGTACGAGGGGTAAAAAAAAGAAAAAAAAGAAAAAAAGAAAAGAAAAATAAATAAATGTACTTGTAAAAACATCTCGCAAAAATCGATCTCGATTAGTTGTAAATACAAAAAAAAAAAAAAAAAAGAAAAAAAAAAGAGAAAAGAAGAAAGAAATATTAAAGAAAGATAGTATTAAAATGGATACGACAGAGTTAGATTCAAATACGGAGTTGCTTCGAAAGTTTGTGTAAATAAAAGTTAGAGACAAGTATCAAAGTAGAGAGCCACCGAGAGATGTTGCTCGTGACTATGATGGTTTCTCTACTTGTGGATCGAAATAAAATGTTTGATATACAAAGTGAAATGAACAGTGGTGTCGCGAGAGACCGGACATTTTGGTCACATCGGAAATTTGAAACTTTATGTTACATTCGAGTTTTCTGTCGTGTAATCCTCACGAGATAAAAAGAAAGAAAGAGAGAGAGAGAGAGAGAGAGAGAGAGGGAGAGAGAGAGAGAAAGAAAGAGAAAGAAAAGGACAAATAGAAATAGAGATAAAAGGATGTTCGATAACAAAGACATAAAAAACTGAAAATATAGTATAGCCATATTGATGGTGAACAAACATAAACTGTTCGAGAGAGGAACAAACAAGATTATTAAAAGCCTGAAAGAGAAATACGATAAGGAAATAAAAGATAAATAATTTTATTGATACGTAATTCGATTAACGTACACGTTAGTCAATCGATTATACTTCACTACAAAAGAAAATGAATAAAGTCAAAGAAAGAGAGAGAGAGAGAGAGAGAGAGAGAGAGAGAGAGAGAGAGAGAGAGAGAGACAGAGAGGAGGAGAGAGATAAAAAGAGAGAGGAATGCGTGTTAATCGAGAAACGACAACGAAGGAAATTCTTAAGGAAATCTTTACGATCTCGGAAAAGGGGACGTTCTGGAAGAAACAAAGCATTCACTGGAAGCTTTCACCAGCGTAATAATTTGAAATACATTCGGAAACGCTTAAGAAGTGTTTTAACGTCGACTCCGGAGTCCGAGTACTCTCATTAAACTACTTCAACGCTGCCCGTTGGAAACATTGAATTCACGAAGAAAATAAAGTCTAGAGGGAGAGGAAGAACGTACAACTAGTCCCTCCTCTCTCTCTCTCTCTCTCTCTCTCTCTTTTAGCTTTCTCGAGGATCGCAAAAGCAAGCGAGAGAAGGTATACGTACGTAGAGAAGTGAAAATCAAATTCGTGAAATACGAAATAACGGGTCGTTGGGCGCTCTGCAATGTGACTTCATGGTAGTTTATGTCACGATGCAACACATACACATACACACATGCATACAGACAGAATGAGAGAGAGATAGTGAGAGAGAGAGAGAGAGAGAGAGAGATATGTAAATGTGTTAGTATGATCGCATCTCCTTTTCTCACAAAGCTTAGCGAGAGTAACGAAGTAAGAGAAAAGGGTGAAGAGGTGAGAGGAAAAGAGAGAGAAAGAGAGAGAGAGAGAGAGAGAGAGAGAGAGAGAGAGAAGAGAGAGTACAGGAGAAACTTCGTGGTGTAGCTCTGAATTCTCCATACGTGGCTCTATCGTAAACACTCAGAGTCGGTGAGCTCGCTCGAAATTTCCCGCGGAAAACGACTCGGAAAGGTGGAAATCGGACGACGAGGGCCGGAACGACACGAATGTTCGCGTTCCCCGAATTATTTCACCCCTCGTGGTACGAAGCCACGAGGGATATCGAGCGTGAATTCCATCGAGACTTTCGAATATTCGGAGATCGTTTAGGAGAATTCTAATAAGTCGAGAGCTTTTTAATCAAATTCCAAAGTTCGATTTAAACAACGAAGTTATCGTATAATTAGAAAATTCATGTTATTTAATTAATCGGCTAAATAGATTTCTTCTTTATAATAAAAATTGCTTTGGGATAATTAAATTTATATTTATATTTATTTATGATGCTTTTGTTATTCAATTATTATTATGAAAATTTTTAATTATCAAATATATCAAGTATCTATTATTAATTGCGATTATTAGTTTTGTG